ACCATGAGAGTTGAATGTATTGGTGACTGTAACGGCAACAAAACGAATGCAGTACTAAGAAATGTTGAATATGTTCCATCTCTTTGTACAAACCTCATGTCGGTGAAACAGTTAATTGAGAATGGCAACAGAGTAGTGTTTGAAAATAATATGTGCACAATTTTTGGAAGTGATGGCGTTGTTGTGGCGAAGACAATGTTGCAGAATAATTTGTATAGGCCCACTTGTTTAAATATTAACAAAATGAATGCTGCTTTTGTCGTGAATAAAAATGCGAGTATTTGGCATAAAAGACTTGGGCACATCTGCGACGACACCCTAAACAAGATAAAGGGCACAAATGATTTCAACTTTAAAATAGACGGTCAGAAATGTGAAGTGTGTATACGAGGCAAACAGTCCAGAGGTTCGTTTAAGGAGGAAGGCCATCGAGCGACAGAATTGATGGAACACGTCCACTCTGACGTCGTTTTCTGGTGCGAGGTACATCGTAACATTCGTGGATGACTTTTCGAAAAAAGTGTTTCTGGTACCAATCAAAAACAAATCTGAAGTCTTTGAAACATTTAAGCATTTTAAAAGTATGGCTGAAAATCAGTGTTCGAAGAGGATGAAGATCTTTCGATCAGATAATAGAACTGAGTACATCAATGGAGCATTCCAAAAGTTTTTGTCTGTCCATGGAATAGTTCACCAAAAATCAGCGCCGTATATTCCGCAGCAGAATGGGGTGGCGGAAAGACTTAACCGCACAATAATGGATCGAGTACGCTGTTAGATTCGGGACTTGATTCCAAATTTTGGGCTGAAGCTGCGGTTACTGCAGCATACGTTTTAAACAGAATTCCATACCGAAAAGAGGTACGATGTCCTGAAGAGATGTAGACTGGCAGAAAACAGGAATTGGAACGCCTTAGAATATTTGGCTGTAAGGCGTACGTGCATATTCCAAAGTCGCAGAAATCAAAACTTCAGACCAAATCAACAGAATGCATATTCGTGGGGTATAGTCAAGAAAGTAAGGCATACCGTTTGTTCAATCCGATGACGAAGAAGATTATAACCAGCTGTGATGTCGTATTCATGGAAGATCAGGTATGTAAATCTGATACAGATGTCACTAATGTGTTTGGAAATTCTGTGGTAGAAGTCATCAATGGCAACGATGGTAAGATGTTTGTTGAAGATGTTCAACACAACCAAGTAGCAGAAGTAGTAGAGAATGCAGATGTAGTCGAGAATGCAGATGTTTCTATCGATAGTCTAAAGGTTGACGATTTTTCTGACGACAACATACAATTTCAAGATGCTGAGCAAGAACTTCCAGCTAAGTACGAAGAAGCCGAAATACGTCGATCGGGAAGACTTGCTGCAAAGACACGAACGAATTTTAGTTTTTGTGCTACTACGTTTATTGCAAATGATCCTACAACCCTGGAAGAAGCCATGAAATCGAGCAATTTTAAAGAATGGCGTTGTGCAATGGACGAGAAGATAATGTTACTTGCTCAGAATAAGACTTGGGAGTTAGTAGATCTACCAACCAGAAGAAAACCCTTGAAATCCAAATGGGTCTTCAAAACAAAACCAGATGGGTCAAGTTCGAATACTCGCCATAAAGCAAGATTGGTCATAAAGGGTTGCAGTCAAACAGAAGGCATCGATTATGAGGAGACGTTTGCTCCTGTAGTGCGATACACATCGATCCGTTTTTTCTTAGCACTAGCTGTAAAACACGACATGCATATTCACCAACTCGATGCAGTGACGGCTTTTCTCCATGGCGAGCTTAAGGAGGAAATTTACATGGTTCAACCCGAGGAATATGAAGTTTGTTTATTGAGAAAAACACTGTATGGCTTAAAACAATCGAGTCGGGTTTGGAATAATACCCTTAACAATGTTTTGCTCAAATTTGGACTGCTAAGGAGCGAAATTGATCAATGTGTTTACTATCATCGTGAGCCCAACAAATTTTTGTTTGTAGCCATATACGTGGACGACGTGTTAATATTTTCAAACGATATGGATGTTACCAATCAATTAAAGAAAAAGCTATCGACACATTTTATGATGAAAGATTTGGGTGAGGCAACATCTGTACTTGGTATGAGAATTCAGCGAACAGAAAATTGTGTCAAGATTGATCAATCGCAATATTTTCAAGAGGTTCTAAAGCATTTTGGTATGGAAGATAGCAAACCTATATCTTCTCCAGTCGACATGAATCAAAAATTGTCTTTAGAAATGTGTCCATTGATTGAAGAAGATAAGGAGGAAATGAACACAGTGCCGTATTTGGAAGCTGTGGGACCATTGTCATTTAATGGCAATCCTGGAAAAGCCCACTGGAAAGCAGTTAAGCGAGTAATGCGTTATTTGAAGGGCACATTTGAAAAGTGTCTAGTCTACACCAAGTCAGGTGGTGCCTTAGTTGGATTTTGTGATGCTGATTGGGCCGGAAACGTAAACGACAGGAGGTCCACAACAGGCTATGTGTTTACCATGCAAGAAGGTGCAATATCATGGTGCACAAAATGACAACGTCGACAGAAGGTGAGCTTATGTCAGTGTTTGGGGCAATGCAAGAAACAGTTTGGCTTCAACGATTGGAACGAGAGCTATTGAATGTATCCATTGCTGTTACGTTACACTGCGATAATAAAAGCGCAATTCAAATAGTACGAAATGGCTTCTACTCTTCGAGAACCAACCAACCTGAACAAAAATTATAAAAAGGAAGAATATTCAAATAATGTACATGTGATTTTGTAATATTTATTCCAAAATCATAAAACTTTTTTTCGGAATATCCGCGTAATTTCTACAGTTGTATTCATGAATGAACTGGTAATATTAATCTTTTCAAGAATTTTGATAATTTTCGAATAGTGTCTTCGGCAATATTACTGATAAAATATCGAGGAATTTTTTGGTATACAACATTAACCTTCAACCGACACATTGAAGATGTCTTTTCGGCCCCCTTTTCCAGAAGTGATTGAATAAAACTCAAGCTGCTCAGAATATTATATAGTCTCAGTATAGACTAAAACTCAAATATCAGTCTAAACGTCAAGAATCTTGTAAAAACATAAACTCATTTTAGGGTTAAAATCGTACTTATTACTATTTTTTACCCATTTCCCCCATAAAATGTAATTTTAGAAGGATTGTATAAGGAACAAAAATATTGATGTTGATATGCAAGTACTAAATCTGGTACTATTTGCATTTAGTTGAGCGTATAGAGATGTAATCCTGAAAATAGGAATTAGGATAACTATTGGAGCACAGGATTGAGTTAGCTTTTTGAAAAATCGTACTTATGTGTACGAAAAGTATTAAATGGTACTAAATTTGGTAAAATTTAGATTTGGTTGAGCGGATTGAAATGGAAACATGAAATTTCAATTACGCTTTGAAAATTCAATTTTGTTTGGCACGAAATGTACTAAATTTGGTACAAGTTGGATAAAGGTAAACAGATAGAGCTGGAATCTTGACATTGGGAATTACTGGATTTAGGTAGTTAGTTATTTCGTACTTATGGAAACAAAAAGTACTAAATGGTACCAAATATTGCACAATTTGTTCTTCGGTGAACTGATTGGAATTAACATTAGTGCTTGGATGCTAGGTTGACACGTGGAGGTAGTTTTTCGTATTAATGCGTACTAAGTGGTAATAGATTATAGTACAACAAATAATAGAAAAAAAAAACATTTTGTAAAATAAATTTTTTATGTATTTTATAATTGTATTAAATGAGTGGTAGAATGGATATGCCGGGAGCAAGCATATTTTAACACCATTAGATTTCATTATCATAAATGTTTTGTCATTGTCATGTTTGCAATTTGTTAATATACGAGAAATTAAAATTAAAAAAAAAACACTGTACTTATAAGTGGCCTTTATATGCATAAATATTTTATTGTTATTGCGTTATATGTTTATATATAAGTCTCAATAAAATTAATTGAGTGGAAGAAAAGTTTATAAGTTACCCTTGGCAATTTCTAATTTCGTTGTCAAAGAAGAGAAGAAAGGACGCAATTTTTTGTTTTGACTCTTATATTTGGCAAAATTTTTGTGCAATGGAACGCTTTAAAAAATAGTACAATATGAGTTGTATCTGGTTACTTTTCCAGTAACATTTACTCAGTCAGCAGTGTGGTCATTTTAGCATTCACACAGTCAGTTCTATTTCAGAGAGTAAGGCGGTTTTATTATCTTTTGAAATAATACTGAGAAAAGTAAACAAACCACATCCAGTAAGATTTTCAAAATTTCACGTAATTTTAGATTTCATGTAATTTTAGATACAATTCATAAAATAAAGAAAAGTGAAAGCTAAAAACTAAAGACTTCAAAGGAATTCGTAAGCGCAGTTTTTTTTTTTTTGGAAAAGTTCTATCTTTCTGTGACATTTGGTCCATCTTGATGATAAATGCATGCAAAATATCCTGACTTTCTCCTTTAATTTAAGTATTTTTCGTCCAAACTGTTTTTATTACCAACTTTACTTGCAAACGTGGTACAAATATTCAAGGCAACTTATAATTCAAGACAAATTCAAGACGCAAAATTTAGTTCGCTGTCAAATAATTTTGTTTGCCCAAAATCAGCTGTTTTTGTGTTTGCCATTGAAAATATGACAACACAAAACAAATGCCACACTGAATCTAAATTTTGTATTGCTAAACAAATGTATAAAAGTTATTTATTGAATAAATAGCCCGCACCTCCTCGAAAACTCTCCATTTTGAATATTTATTTTCATGCTTTGTATTCAGCAGTTGCAAAAGCTTTTTACGCAATAAATCTTACAGAACCGTATTTTTACATGATTTCTTTCCAATGAAATAAAAAAACTGTCCAAATTACCCACAATGCAGTTTGGAGTCTAAGTTGTATTTAGTAAAAAAAGAACATCAACGTTTATATAGATATTGTATAGTTGTTTAAATATTTTACTTTCAATTACTTTTTTGTAGGTATTTCATGGAGGAGAGTGTTTTGAAAGCTATCGCATTGGATGTCCATGATAGTGGACAACTGTCATCTTCGATGGTTGACGATGTATTTTTTATTCTACGAAAATCAATAAGACGGTCTTTAACAACAATGTCTGTCAATGGCACGTGTGCAGTTATTAATAATGCAGCAGCGTGTCTAGACAACGATTTTGTAAATGCGTTAAAAAGTCATTTACAACAAGGATATCCTTCGGGGTATATAGATTTGGCTCAAGCCTACAGCGCTATACAAAACACTTTACAACAAGGTAAAATACATTCCAGTGATAACGAAAAGGCTCGTCTACATTTTCTAGTATACTTGAACAATGCGGATATTTCAACCGAATATATTGATACTTTATGGAAAACAATGGACCTAGAAATTTCCGGAGCATATCCTTCAATGACAACAGTGGAAAAGCAATTGATAGAAAGCTGTCTTTCCGAATTGAAATCGGTTCGAGATACTTTAAAAGCGTGTGTTGACTTTGGAATGCAACAACTGAGGTCCAGTGCGATCAATCCGCGACTTCATCCGTGGGTTGACCAATATCTTAGCTATAAGCATCAACTGACGGAGGTGAGTAACTTTTATACTATATTAAGTGTGGGATCTTTTAAAAATCACCTTTCACATGGAAAGACATTTTTAATTTTTTAACTGTCAAATCATAATTGTTTAATGGTGCTTGTTTTTCTGCAGATTTGGGTAGCACCCATATAATGGTAGCCCCAATATTCGGTAATTAGGCGTTTCGCGTTTGACTATAATTCGGTATTTGGGGTTCTTATTGTAATGCACATTGTTGTAATACAAATTATTAATACTGAACCAAGTTTGAGTGTAGCCCACATCTCCGTACTAAAATGATTTCACTACCCAAAATTATCAATATTATCCCCGTTTGGAAATAGCCCAATAAAACGCTGCTTTATCAGCCTTCTTGGAGGGATTTTTACGGGCTCTCCTTCGGGCTGACTTCGACAGTCCCTTACCCTCCGTTTTCGTGGATGCTAGTGTCAGGGATGTCTCAGTGCTCAGTTTACCCTTGGGCGGTACTGAGGGCTTAGACGTCTCAGCCACTAACTTCCTAGATGTGCTAGGTTCTCCAGCAGTATTCTCATTTGGAGGGACTACCGTGGTGGTCTTCCTATTTGGTTTAGGAATCCTTTCAATCAAGAAGTCCCTCGCAATTTCGTTTGGATAGTTCCTGGAGAACTTCCGAATGAATTTGAGGTTACTCTTGATCAAAAGGAACTCCTTACCCGTTATGGAGTCACTGCCCCGCCATATGAACCGGTTGTAGTAGTTAACCAATCTCCTTGGCGTTGACTTGCCATTCATCCATTTTGTCGACGGGGAGTCTCATCAGTCGCAGTCTCCCCTTCGACGACCAACTGCCTGAGAAGTCTCGCGACCTTAGAAGTCTTAGCTCCATAGAATATGATTTTGGTGAGGTTTTTATGTCAACCATAGCATAGGCTCTTACCATGCTAAGGACTTGGCAACTAAGCCTGAGGCGCAAAGGTATCAACAAGGCTTCGTTCTAGTATAGTCGGGACCCTGTATGTAAACCCTAGAACACTGATGGGCACGAGGTCACACGACACCCCAGCATTAGGGGGTCACTTTTAAGAAGTAGTGACACAGACCTTTGAGATGGGTATTTAGGGGCGCCATTCTCGCCTCGTCAGTTCACCGATCATGGGCACTCGGTCATTTCCCCCGAGACTCTCCCCCTGAACCCGCTGATTGTCCGCGACTGTTTATTTAATATTCACCCAATATTTACCCAAAGAAAAGTATTGGGCTTCCCACTATCCGCAACCTGTGGACGGGTCCGTTAGCATTCAGCTCTGCTCCCCGAAGGCGGTAAAAAACCTTCCTATTTTAAATCAATTTAATTTAATATAGCCGTATACGTTACAAAAGCTACTTACAGCCTGTTTTTGTAAAATTCCAAACGAACGAATTCGAGTGACTTACGACCAAACCTTTATTTATGTTTATAAAGGTTTTCTGATTCAAAACAAAAATAAATGACATATTTTTCAAAACCAAGGAGTTTGGTCGTAAGTCACTCGAATTCGTTCGTTTGGAATTTTACAAAAAACAGGCTGTTAACCTAAACTACACTAGCACTTATATTAAACCTTAAAAATAGAATAACAAAATTTAAACAATTTTTAAGAAATAAAAAATTTAAACATAAAAAAATTAAGAATTTTTAAGTTAAAAAATATATGTATATATAATCACAAAATTTATAACACTTATAATACTCTGAAAACTATAAATTTATAATAAAAAAGGAAATGTATTTTAAGTTATAATAAAAATAACTTTAATGCATACTCAACTATGAGAAAAACAAAACGGATACAAAATATTAGACATTTAAATATCATGAGTTAGGGCAAACAATTAAACGTATTAAACAATTTAAGATGTGGTGGCAAACTATTAAAAATCCTCGCTACTCTTACAACAAATGACCTCTCCAAAATCGATGTCAGTCTGGGAATAACAATTTGACAATTCCTAGCAGATCTTCCAAAAGAAAATAAATTGACAACCGTTAGCGGAACCTGCAATTTAAAAAAATCTTATAAAAACATAAGAGACTTCGAATACGAACAAATGTTCTAAAACTACAACCTAGAAAATTCTCAACATAAAACGAAACATGCTGACACCAGTTCAAAGAATACGCGTATCGCATAACTCGATTGAACAATAAACGCAATTTACGCAAAACAAAACCACAACAACCACTAAAGATTTCTATACCATACAAAAATTTTGGCATTACCAGCGCGAGTTTTAATAACACGTGGGAGGACAATATCCAAGGTGTATAACTTTCTAAGTACAAAGTTAACTTTGGATGCAATTGAATTCACATGCGACTCAAAAGATAAACTTTTATCAATCATTATACCCAAATAATTCAACCTACTTACAACATCTATAATATTATTATGGATGGAAATAGAAATTGAATCATTGGGCATATTACCAAAATACATCGCTTTAGTTTTGGTTGAATTAACACATAAGCCATTAACAAACATCCAATCTACCAACACACTAACAGTAAAGTTTATAGTATTCTTCATAACATCTAACAACACTAAATCGCCCATAAACAAAAGCTGCACATCATCAGCAAGCGCAAAAGCTAAGCAATTACTACCAACAATACAACTAAACAGATCAATTATATACATTATGAATAACAAGGGACCAAGGACCGAACCTTGTGGTACCCCACTACTCACAGACAAAACACTAGACCTACAACCTCTACTACTAACATATTGCTTCCTACCACACAAATATGAATACATAAGCCTACAGGCATAAGACGTAAATTTAAATTTTTGGACAAGTTTCTCAAACAATGTTGCGTGATTAATTCTATCGAAGGTTTTTTTCAAGATCAAGTGACAGAAGAACACAGCAACCACCATCACTGTCCTTTTTCCGTATATTATCCGTCAGGTCAATAAGTAAAGACGTTGTACTTCTATTGCAACTAAAAATCCATATTGACTGTCGTGCAAAAATGAATGAAATGAAAAATGAATCCAAATATTCGACCATCTGACTCTTCATAACGTATTCCACCATCTTGGACAATATAGGCATGCTAGATATGGGTCTCATGTCACCATTACAATTTTTTGGGAATTGGAACAACCTTCGCCACTTTCCAATCCACAGGAAACACTCACGTAGTCAAAATAGTTTTAACGATTCGCACTACATATACACAAATATGAGGAAATAATAGCTTTAAAATTTTTAATTTAAATTCTTCACATCCAACAGCAGTAGACTTTATTCTTTGAAAAGCACTAACAACTTCGTCTCCATTTACAGGTCTGAAGCTAAAGCCTTCAAAAATTTCCTCAGGAACATTAGGCTCACGCATATTACTTTGAGACTGATTACGAACAAATTCTCTATTAAGACCTTCAACGTCATCACTATGAACATAATCGTCAGTATCATTCAACACACCATTCTTTCTCAACAAAGACCATATTTGCTTTGACGACTCAACACAAAAAATACTCTTATGAACCAACCTCTTTATTCTACGAACCACAATACATTCTGTTGTAGCATTGTTCCATGACAATCACATTCTAAATGAAAAATTAGTTTCAATATCAGACGTCGCCTGTAATGCGATTTAAATGGAGGCGAAATTTTTTTTATATTGCATAAAACAATATCATCCATGGGTACCGCCCAGGTCAAACTTAAGGGTTTTCTAAACTTGAGTTGGGAAAAATATATCCTATCATACATTTTAATATGAAAAGAAAACCAATCTGTTAGGGAAACTGGTAATGGAAGTTGGATAAAAATGTACTTAAATTAAAATTGATGTGATAATTATAAAAATTTGTCTTTGAATTCCTACAAAAAATCTGTTAAAACTACCATTTCAAGATTGTTTTTAATATTTTTGACGGCATGGAGCAACTTTTAACTCTTAAAACAATTCCACATTTTCAGTTATGTGGTAAATATTGAGAAATCAACACAAAAATGCAATGGCCAGGTTAGAAGCTTGGTCTTATATATGCTCCGCAGAGCTTTAAGATTTCTATAGTACGAGGTGCACTGAAATGTTTATGACCGTACGGTCATAAACTAATAATAATATGATTGTTGTTGTAGAAGTTTATATGAATGTCGTTTTCCTGGTTTAATTCAATCTGGTTCTGTGTCCAAGTTAAGAAATCCAGCTACTTCCACTGGCTGCAACCACAGATCTTCAGGAGTAAGACGAATAGATTTGGCTGGGAAATTTGAATAAGTGCAGTGTGGTATGAGGACCCACATGTCCAATACGAATTGAGACGACTGCACCATCCTGAACGTAATGGGGCCAAAACTACTCTGGTTTGTCTGGCCAGCTGACGTTCTGTAGCGGTGAACTCCGAGGACGGCATTAAATCAGCATCCGTACAGCGCTGCAGCTACTACATCAGTATGAATGCTATTCAGGCCTATTCGATAGGCAACTTGATCTAGAGGCTCCCTTTTATAACGTTGAACTTCTCTCTGTAGATCTTGCAGATCCTTCCTGACATGCCGGGCGAGTCTTATCCATTATACGATGGTTGGGATGATTGTCCCTGAAGCACCCGAGCTGGTACTGCAAAAGCATATTGCTATGCTGACGTGAGGGAAGGATCTTCGTCTCCTCATGAAGATGGTCCACTGGTGTCATGACGAGGCACCCTGTCGCAGTCCTCAGAGCGACCTAACGCTTTGTAAGAGGTCAACAAGATTTCTTTATCTTCGCCCCAAGCGTCCACGCATATAGTCAAACGTTTCAAATTCAGCCGTAGGGAAGTGCTCTCGATGTCCTCAAATAGCGTGGATTGATTGACAGTATTAAGGTTTTTGGTAGGTCAAGCGCTACCAACACTGTTCTATCGCACGGCCGGTTCTGGTTAAGTCCTCCAATCATATGTGTGGAGATGGCGTGCAACGCTGTTGTTGTACTGTGTTGCTTACGGAATCCATTTTGATGATTCGCAACTGGATAGCTTTCT